CATCGCTTTGCTGGTTAACTACTTTATTGCTTAATATTTGTACTGTTTTTTCTTGTCATGGTTAACAAACGTATGTCACCCACACCTGCTAAAAAGAAAACAGATGAACAGGCCACCCCTGACGTCAGCGAGGGTGGCATATTTCAAATACGAGAATGCAAAGTAGTGCCTGTGGATCCACTAGCAGAAGCAATGTAGAAAGTTCTTGTTCTCAAAAATCAGGTAAGCTCGCTGAAAGAAGTCTTTACTTCTATTGCGACGCAAGTAAACAAAGTCATGCGTCGGTCAATCTAGACAAATCCAGCTCTTCACTAGCTAATTTGATATGCTCGCTGCAGGTGAAATAGTGGACAACATTACGCACAAGGACAACGAAAGCCTACGCCTTGCCAACAGTGCAGTCGTATAGAACATCCCAGATAAACTGCCGCTAAACCGTGTTGCGTACCCTTCCTAATGATTATAGACCACCATATGATTGCTGTCTAGCCACGCGTTTACGCAAGATCTTCAGCCGATCTTTTCCAATGGTCATAAATTTTGTCAGCCTGAAGCTGGCTAACCGATGCATTGACGACAGGTATGACATGAATCATCAGTGTAATCTCGGGGCCATGCCGATAAAACCGGACAGAACGCCGCTTTGAAACCCACTTTGTCTACTAGTTGAATTTCATAGAGGAAACCTGCCCGTGTATCACCAGCCTCAGCGTTGCAAGCTACCAATGCGTACCAAAATGCAACCCTCACTGCTGTTTCCTCGATGCACTGTGACGTTGACCTGGCTTCCTCATGACGACTTACAGACATTATTGCAAAAATGCCTTCAAAAAACAAAGAGCAGCCAAACAATATCGTCGCCAATTCCATGCTATCAGCTGAAACTTCGATTGCTGTCGCAGATACGACCAAATACAGTACATAGCCGGTTGTTATGTCTGTGTTGTGCGACGCAGACTCAACTTAAGGGTGTGCTTCAAATCATTAGATATTTCATTAGCCAGCGTTGTCAATGACCCCGCGCAAATCGCTGTTGAAAAACGCCAGCGACCCGTAACTCAATGCAACCGTGTTGCACAGCTCAGCCCCATCATATCCATATCAGTACAGCAACAGGACTGTACCCAGACGTTCCGGTATAGCTAAAGCATACTCAGTGACAGTAGCAGAATTACCACGCTCCCAAGTGGCTCGCCCTTACACAACAGGACGTTCCTTTTCTCATCTTGGACCGAAGTCTACTGCCAATCAAGATCAGCTTCATCGCAGGAACAACCTACTCCAAACCCCAAAACCAAAATGCACTTTCGAATTCCCAACAAACTCCGTTACACTACCGACCGCGGCAAACCAAAACCTCTGCAACCGGTGACTGTTACACCTACTGCTCCAGCTTATCCAGCGTTACCCTGGATTGTTGCTCTGACCAGGTCTAGCCAGCCATTCGGAAAATCATATTTACTTGAGTCACATAATCAACGTACCCAAACAAACAGCTGTATAAAACTAATGGATATATGTCACCAAGCCGTGGATGACAACCTGCTGCTATTGTCAACTTGACAACCAGCATGAATATCACAGCTGCTTTTATTTTACCAATCGCTCTCCCACACCAGAGCTTCGGCAGAATGTCAGGTCGCCAAAACTGACCCACCTACGGCAGCGCCGTTTTTATGAAACACAAAGCATGGCCCACGACACACAATTCTCCAAGACCTCGTGCTTGCTCTATATCATCTCCAAATGCTCATATATACCTTGCAGCCAGCCCAAAACGGCTGGTTCCAGCCCTATGCGTAACCGCCACGGACCTCAAACCCACAACTGATTAATCGGCGGCCCGCTGTCCGCCGCCCCCGGAAAACATATCCGTGACACTTACCTCACCTTTCCCGAACACTTTCTTACTGTCCAGTTACGACACTACTGCAGAACCTGACGACCAGACAACATGACTCAGCGGATACAACTTGTATACATACTTTCGCCTCAATGCACGATAGAGTAATAATAAAATGCATCTCCATTCCAAAACTTAACTACCCTGAGAACCTGCGGAATCTCCTGACCCACCTGCCGGAAGCCTCCGGCCCCATAATCCTGGCTCCAAGCGACCGCGACTCCCCACTACCGGTGCCACAACGACTGATCTGACCCCCAAAGACAACATCCGGGATTCTTCGTGGCACGAGGATCGTTATGGTTGTTGACTCGGAATGCGATGGGGGTGACACCTCCCAAGCGCACCGTCAGGATGCAGCGAAGCGAATGTCCTGTTGGCCCTTTTTCTGAACTAGCCAGTTTTTGCAGTCTGACCAGCTCGCCCCGACGGCCCATCGATGATGCACTCCCGTTCACACCCAAATAATTAATAGGAAATAACAAAGAAGCCGGGACCGAACGAGCTCCACGCGTGTTCTCTCAGTCCGCGTGTGCCTACTGCAACTACTACTCTACCTTCCTGTCCACACTTTGTCCCCCCACTTGACAGCTCTCGCGAAGGCTTCCAACATTCAGTCTTCTGGGGAGAGCCTCCTGTAGTGATCACGAAACACTTACGCTTGCAGTATTTTGTGAATTTAGATCTTATTATTGTTTATATCTTCTGATCGTCCAGTTGTTTTACTGAGCGCTCGTCTGGTTCGCTTTCGAACCCTCTGTGATTCACACGCTACCCTGCTCTGCGCTCTTGCTAGTTTGCTTCTAGTTCATTGCAGCTGTTTACAATACAGGTTGAGCCCGGCTACGTACTTAATTTTGAATAATTGTCATCCATATTGGTTCCTACTGATTCTTGTCACAACCAGTACCTGACTTCCGCATCACACATCCAATCGTTTCAATATAATTGCTTAGCCGGTATCAATTTCGAAAGTCACAGGCTGACTGTTTACTTGCAAACAAAAAACGACCGGTTTTCCGCCGACACACAAAGCGAGTAATGTATGTTGCGCTGTTGATCCAGTAATGATTCAACTCCTCAGCCATTGATTCGCCGCTTTGGGTTTCGGTCCCGTGAAGGCATTCTCTTTGGAAAGACATAGTTCTTGAATGTGGTCCTTTTTTCGACAAAATGCACACAAGGAAGAAAGGTGCTGACATTCATTCGGACTCGAGTGACGCTCACCACGACGATAACAACACCATAAACCTTTGTGCTGTATGCTGTGGGGCAGGGTATAGTCACGATTGATCTGGGAAACCGCTAACATCCCATGATTTAGCCTGTCCCCCTTATCCCCCGAGGAAAATGCCGCGAGTATCTGAACGAGGTCGGTACTTTGGGGAGCTATCTCGCAAGCATTCTCACGAGTTAAGAGCCTTTCATCTCTTGACAGCAACCGCCCCCATGCACTTTTATCAAGGATAGCAATAATTGATGCTGGAATGAGCATTGCTTCTCGAAAATAATATGGCGGGATGCTATCGTGTGCACATTCGGGGAGGGAGGTAAAAAGAAGAGAATTATACTCGTTCACAGACTCATTCGGCTTTTGTCTTTTCGTGTTAAAGTTGTAGCGCGCCGTTGCTGTTCAACCCACTGTTGATCAAGAGAACACAGCCTGTAGGCATTGTTTCACGTTTAGCTGTAAAATATCGAAGTGTCTATGGCCTTCAGGACTTAGGTGGTAGAGTAGCACTTTGATTTTCTCACCGTCATAGTTGTCGTTGTAGCTATGTGAAAAACATGTCAATGTAGCACGTAAAGTAGTTTTCTATCGCATCAATGGTTGCAAGTTGGGTTTCTGAGTGGAGGAGTTCCAACATGCTGGAGGTGCCGAAAACGTGTTAGCCATGATTTGCTCAAGTAACTCCGTTGCAAAGTGTTACGTTAGAATGAAATCAGAAGCAGCTACGGAGTAGTGGAAGGATATCACAAGACCAACTAGTCATGCATGTGCAGAAGCGTCTGATGAGTAGGCAGATAGCAGTATGCACCGAGTTCCAGGTCCTCAGCTTGATTAGACAGTACTGGCCAGTGGGCGAAGTAAGTGTAAGGAAGTAATTCCACACGCGGATTGATGTAAACAAAACCACGCACGCACGCGTGCACTGCGCGGCCGGCCGAGGTAAACAGCAGGATGCATCAGTAAGAGACAACGTTGTCGGTGCGCGGTTTTGGACACCTTCATTTATTGTTCCGAACAGCGGAGTTCGCCTCGT